AAAAACATACAACAGCGGGGATTCGCTAGTGGTCACCCACCTAACTACTAATCCGCCGGTATCATGCTTGTATATGGCTGAGCGGACGGGAAGCCTAATTTTCATGATCCTATGGTCGTATGTGAAGATTCTGGTTGTCAAATTGGAAAATATAATGCAAGACTGGGTTTGGTCAATCTTTGCTCCAACCATGTCCCCCGGCTGCTAACAAGACAACCACTATCTGCTTACCGCGAGTCATCTGAGAGATATGGTTAAAAGCAACAATAGAGGTGACGTGAAAGTAGATTGGCTCGAAAGCTTTCATTCATTCAACTATAAAGACCACAGTGGTCGTGTAGTTGCCTGGCCCTAGTATCCCGCTGTCTCGTGAGACAAAAGCAATCATGTATTCTTCAAACCGATTTTCCGCGCGCATGAAGCGTTGTACCGTCATCGATGCAATCAAGCTGAAGGAGGTGACGGGTGATCGTGATATCTTGAACATATCAAGGGCTTGATGAAACTTGCCCAATCGAGGGTCTTGCCGCCGCTCGGTGTCGCATATCCCACACTTGATGGAATGGGTGCTGTTTCAAGAGCCATGAAAGCCACGACCAGGTCAGCGAAGAACTCGTGAGGATAAGACACCATTTCCTTCGCTCGCTGGCTTGGATCGACTAGCTCCGTGAACCGAGAGGTGTCTATAGCGAAATCCACAAGGACTTTTCGAAGAGCTGATCCGGTCAATGTGTTCTCATAGATGTAGGAGAGGTGCAGCTGTGGAAACGCCCACTCCTGATTCATCTTTTGAATAAGAAGGTCGATAGCGGCATTGCATAGATCAGGAGCCCCGCGAGCATCACCGAAAATGTAGATCTCGTAGATGAGGGGAAGTCTAGAGGAACTTCCCCTGAAGCGTCGAGTGCGAAGTAGAGCTTTCCTGTATAGACCCAGTGAAAGAACGCCTGGAAAACCTCCGGGTTATCGTCCTTCAGCTCCACAGTCTTTGAATTACCCCAACAATCCTTTACGGCAGCTTTGAAGTAGGAGGAGTAGTGAGAGAGAAGGCCTTCGTAGACGTGGAACTCGCGCTTCGAGCTCCAATTGCCGACTGTAACGGTGATGATCGGGCCGTAGTCTTCACTACTTCACATATTAGCCACTTGCTTAATCGTAAAAATCTACTGGTGCTTACGGGTTAGGCGGAGGAGTAGCTTTGGAGCATTTGGCCAGCTCGAGCAACGGCCTGACCTTTTTGAGCTCCTCTTTCTTCTCTGGAGTCGCCATCGCGTACGGTTGTGTTTGTCGTGATAGCTGGTCGCAGTCGTGATAGGTATTTCAATGGATCAGATTGATGTGACGGTGACGGTGAAAAGTATTGGGCCTAGTAGCGCGGTCTTGGCAGTGAGCAGTTAAGGCAGGAGCAACGGTCAGGGTCCAGCAGGCGGTGACGACCCGGGTTCATTGACTAGAGACTACTGTCTGCTTTTCGTTTTGGAGTATACATATCGCCAACGGTTGGAAATTACTCACCGTTCGGACCGATCTACTCCTCAAGGTCCACTCTGAGTGGCGGGCTCTGGATTACACCCTTCGACATCCGCAGCCGTCCCTACACAGCATAGTCTCTTCCTCCTTCACCAGATTGCTAAAATGACTGAAGGAAGGACTCCGTAGCTTCGGGTTTGTAACCCCGTTGTCTATACTGGCAACATGACCGATGAACTCTCGCGCCAGACATATCTACTCTTTCACCACAATTGCAGTACTTGCTCTTAATGATTGTACACTTATCTCATTTCTCTTTCTCCCTATCGGAGAAAACGCCAGACCATGCAAATGCTACTCGCTCTTTCTACGATTGTACAACTACTAATACATGATTTTTCCAGTTTCCAACACGCTCGCTAAACCCCAAAGTCGCTCAATAGAAAGAGTTGTGTATTACTAGTATTTCTTCTTTCTGTGCCGCACATGAGGATCCTGTCCCTTGCGATTCCTCTTTTGCCGGTCCGTTGGCGGCCGGTACGGTTCTTTGCCGTATTCTTCCCGGTACAGGCTAAGCATGTACTCGTCGACGTGCCTCCGCTCCTTCTCGTTGCCGTCGATGTCGAGGTCTTCGTTCGCTTTGGCGGCAGCAGCGGCTTCCGAGGCGGCTCTCGTGGCGTTCAGACTCTCGTTGAAGTCGACTTGATCTTCTTGAATCTCATCGACAATTTCCTTCTGTGCGATGGAAGCAGCCGTGCGATCCTCGGTATCCTCCACTGTACCCATGACACGCGCGTCACCTAACAGTCCAATCTTCTCGCCGAGCACACGTTCCATGGCTGCACCCGCTTCGTCGTTCGTGTCGATTCCCAGGTTCTCATCGAGTGCGTCGCGCCAGGTGACTTTGTTGAAGGTGTCTGTGGTGAAGTCACCCTTTTGGATAATGACGTCGTCGAGCAGACGTTTCTGGTTCGACTTGCGGAGGATGTTGGCTTCGATGGTGTATTCGCTGACGAACTTGTAGATGTGCACATCGCGCGTTTGACCGATACGATGGGCTCGGTCTTGACACTGCTTGTCCATCGCGGGGTTCCAATCAAGATCATAGAAGATGACGCTGTCAGCACCCGTGAGATTGATACCAAGACCACCGGATCGAGATGACAGGATGAAACATAAGATGCGGGGGTCACTGTTGAAGCGATCAGTAAGGATCTGGCGTTGTTCGATCTTGGTAGACCCGTCAAGGCGCAGATAGCGATATCCATGAATGTTCAAGAATTGCTCGAGAATGTCGAGAACCTTTGTCATCTGGGTAAAGATGAGCGCGCGGTGGCCACCAGCCTGTAGATCTCGAAGCAGTGTTGCAAGACGCTGAAGCTTGCCACAGTCATATTGAAGGAGACGCTTGTCCGGAAAGGCGATCGATTGTCGGATGCGCGAAGAATGGAAGGGGTCTTTTTGGTGTGCTGCCTCCGACGATCGAATCAGCTGGACACCACGTCTGGATAGGGTCAGAGGTGCTAATTCCTCGGCTGCAACGGCAGGCGTAACGCATGTGAAGCGGGTAATGAGAGGCTCCATAGCCTCAGCACGCTGCTCCAATGTTGGGATCATATCATAGAAATGGGTGATTTGTTGATCATGCCAGTGCGACAAGACACGATGAGAACGCGGTGACCTGAATCCGAGTAGACCATGATGACGTTGAACGATGTCATAGTGAATCGCTTCCTCTTGTCTTGGCTGCATTTGAGCCTGACCGAAGCCGTGGTAGTTGGGATGTGGAGTGTGATGGGTTCGGTAGAGGAGAGGCTTAGCCACTCTCTTCCCTTCAGTGATAGCCCCAAATGTGAAATCGTGCCAATCGACGGTCAGTGCGTCAATGATGTCCTTTCCGTAAATCGGCATGAACTGGGTACGCGCGCGAGTAAGGTTAAGACATGTTTGCAAGTGGTCCCGAACGGCCACTTGCTCTCGCTTCGCCATCGCTGCCATAGTCGCTTGTAGTGAAGAGGTGCCCTTGTCGATGGGTTTGTTGATGCGCCGTGTTTGGCGCTCGATCAGATCCTCCAGGGGCCGTGTGGCGCGAATAGGGTAGGTGCGTCTAGCATGACCCAACTGCGTCTGTTCCCGTCGCGCAAACACCAAGTTCAAGGCGTCTAGATTTACTTGCTTATCTTCCATGCCCTCTTGCAGTCGCTTCCTGATGAGAAGGTCCTTGATCTCGTACTGAGCAGCGACTGACTTGGGCATGGCCATGGACGTTACAATGGCTCTTGTTTCGAACAGGTCGGGGTGATTGCAGACTTTTCGTAATGACATTAAGCAATTGATAATCGACATGTAGTTGCCGGAGGACAGGATCTCCTTGGTCGAGGCGCGGCCCATGAACCCATCGTAGAGCTGCCGTTGCCGCTTGGAAAGCTTGCAGTAGACCACGTGCTCATACTTCCCTGGCATTTGCTTCTCAACCTCTGATTTCAGCCTTCGAAGCAAGTAGGGGCGAAGGACTTCGTGAAGCCGCTTGACAACCTTCTGCGCTTCCGCATCAAGCTGCTGCCGACCTTGATCGAGAATCTGCGAAGTAGGATTCTTGAGAGCCAAGGTAAACTCCTCCAGTCCCGCGATGCGACCTTCCCCGGCAAAGCCAGCTGGCATTAAGAAGTAGAGCAGCGACCAAAGCTCATCGATGTTGTTTTGTAGAGGCGTACCGGTCAGTAACAACCGTCGCTCTGTTCTAAGGTTAAGCATAGTCTGCCATCGTTGAGACTTGAAGTTCTTGATGTTGTGGGCTTCATCGAGGACCAGGTAACGCCAGGGACGCATCTTGAAGGCTGCTGCGTCTTGGAGGATGAGCTGGTAGGAGGTAATGACGACGTTGTACATGTCCTTGCCAGTGTTGCGCCAGCCCATGCGCTTTCGTTTTCGCTCATTGATGTCGCCATAGTATGTCAGAATCTTGAAGCCTGGCAAGAACTTCTTGAACTCCATCTCCCAATTGAGCATGACACTGGTGGGTACGACGACTAGATGTGGTCCCCATATCTCGCGACGAACAGCGAGGTAGGCAAGAAGTGAGATGGTCTGTATAGTCTTGCCCAGACCCATCTCGTCTGCGAGGATTCCGTTTGTCTCGGATTCGTACAAGTTCGCCAGCCAGTCCAAACCATCGTGCTGGTACTCTCGGAGGGTACCGCGTAGTAAGGATGGCACCTCGGTCCTTGGTGGGGATGATGTATGCCGTGATCGAGAAGCGCTTTTAGAATGTACTACATCTTCCATCGGAGTTGGTTCAGCTGCTTCGACGGTAGGAGCAGGTTCTGTTTCAGAATGCCCGTTCACATGTGGCTCGTCTACTTCAGCGACAGAATCATGACCATTCACATGTGGCTTCTCCTCGTAGACTTCCGCGGGCGATGTAGCATGGCCATTCGTTTGTTCGGGCTGAGTTGCCGGGTCTTCCGGTTCCACATCGTCAATCGCGGTCTTGGCGGCCTCTTTCAGTTTCTTGATGTCTTTAGGTGCCAAGAAACCCATCATGCCTAAGTCTTCTCCCTCACTCTCATCCTCGTCGTTTTCTTCCGAGCCGGCTTCTTCATGACCATCACCCTCGCTATCCGAACCTTCGTTGCTCGACCAAGCTTCACTACCAGATTCCGAGCCCTTGTCGTCCTCAGAATCGAGCAAAGCATCATCAACCTGATCGAGCTCCACTGTAGCAGGATCGATATAGTCTGGCTTCTGTTTATCCCCATCTTCTTCGTGGTCGTGAAAGCCATTCGTCTGTTGAAATGGGTTCTCTGGAAGCTCGTTCGTGTTGTCGACATCGAGGTCGGGATCGGGTGTTGGCGCAGGAGTACCCTCTTCGGAATCAGCGTCGTCATCGTCTTCGCCGTCGTTTGAGTTGACTTCCGCCTCGGAGCTGCTCTCGGGGAGATCGGGAAGTTGTCCGTACTTCTCGCGTAGTTGTTCGGCCGTGAGGTTCGCATCTTCGTCCTGCTCGTTCTCTTGTTCGCTATCAGAGCTGGAAGACATGACATCGTCGTCGTGCTGTTGTTGTGAGGCATGCGACACCCCGCTTTCGGATTCCATCTCATCGAAATCACGGTCTTCGCTGACCAAGGAGGAGGCCCCGTCGCCAGCGTTACGACCACCCAGAATCTCTTGCGCTTGATTAAACATGTCGTCCATGGCCTTGTGTCCGAGCTGCAACTGTTCCTCCTCATATTTAGCCACACGCTCCTTGTCGATCTCAACCCTGACCAAGCCCCATGCGTCCTTGACATCCTTCACGAGCTGCTTGTATCTCGTCACTTGCCGCTCGGTCTCTTCCTGTTCGATCTCATCTTGGCTCTTGCGCTTGAACTTGTTCTTCCAGAAGTCGTATGCTTCTCTGGCCAAGATCTTGGCCGTCCGCCGATGGAATGCCTTCTCCTCCTTCAATAGCTTGTTGAAGTGCAGGGCATGAGCGACAACGTGGTCCCAATGTCCGTATTGTGGCGGTGGCTCTGGAGCTGCTTCAGGCGCATATACGCTGCATCGTGCCTGGCTTAGAACTCCATGTTCAGCAGCCTCGACAATCTGCAGCCGGCGCTCGGCTTCTTCCTCGGCCTTTTCCTGTGTGATCCGAAGCGCCTCTTCGCCGTCTAACGGGTCGTCTTGTCCTAGCCACTCTTCGAGCGACGCGTACTCTGACTTGGGCGGGGCATGGTGGGGATGGCGGTTGGGAGGGTCGGGCTTTCGCAGTCGCAGGCGGAGACGAGGGGCAGGCATAGATGGGTTCGAGTCGTCGGGCG